GGGGGGGGGGGGGGGGCACATGCACCAGTTGCCCATGTTGGACAGACCTGCACTGAATGAAGTGTTCTTATTACTGTTTGTTACAATTTCACTTTCAATACAGGGAAGTGAATACACATTGTTGTGAAGCCTGAGCACTTAAAGACATGAGGGATGAATTAAAGCATTTACAATTTTGATATTATATAAGAAGGTTGAATTTTAGCTAGATCACTAACACTAAAAAGTGAGGAGAGATAAATGAAGAATTTAGAAAAAGCAATTTACTTGAAATACTTTGGACACATTGTGAGACCAATAGCTAAACTCCTAATTCCAGCATATGTATTATCAGGCAAAATAGAAGGAAAGCCAGAAAGAGGAGAAAAGATCCAGTATGTCAGAAATACTGCAAGATACAAATAGTAATCAAAATAAAAGTAGATATTTTACAGGTTTGTTGTGACCATAAAAGATGAAAGATGGAGATAAACAACCTCTGAACTGAACATGTCAACTGGAGAAAAAGAAACCTTGAGGGCACATTAGCTTGGTCATCTTTTAACAAGCTCATCTTTTTCCAACTCATTCCATATACTGGTGATAGGAATCATTAAAAACAGAGTTACCTGGGCAGTCATGTTCAGTGCAGTTCCAAATACCACCAATACAAATACTGAAAACACACACAAAAAAAGGAGACAGCAACATAAAACATAGAAAGCATTCATTTTTTCAGATTTTAAGAAAATGCAACTTTCTAGTGTTATACTTATTAAAGACAGTTTCCTAGGGTCTGAGTCAGATACAGACCTCAGGCTTTATGTGCATATTCATACGCTGTGTATGCATAAAAATATAACTTGTATTACAGTCTATTTTTAAGAAATACATATTTGATTACTTTTGAAATTTGTGTATTTGATCACTTAAGAAATATAATATAACTTCATACCATCTTAGGAGGCATATGTTAAATATAGGTAGGTAGACACAGATTGAGACACACACAATGGAAGGTGGGTTTACATACCAGTTACTGCATTCTTGTTGGATTTTTGAGCCTACAGGGAAGGCCACCCCATGATAAATACAAGGACAATTTGATACAGAGATACAAGTTCCGTTTTCCATAATGAGCCCTATTTTTGGCAAAAAAGAAAAATACTGAAAACATGGAAAGATAATCTTCCTGAACAAAGAAGAATATGTGCGCTACTTAAAAAATTAGATACAATTCTGAAAAAATTATATATACCAATGTCTTTGTGCTATTCTTACTTATATAATGCACTAGAGATCACTGGAGTTTTAAATGGTAGTGACCAGTTCAGTTACGTACTGCATTTTGGATAATTTTAGAACACAATATATCAAATGGGGGGAGGGGGGATTATATAATAAGAACTAACATAGAAATAGCAATATGCATTCTTCCAAATGTTTAGTCTTACAATAGACCATCTATTTAGATCCTATTGTTGTCTTGTTGGACATTAGTTTAATGTCAATACATCATGTGAAGTTTTAGATGCTTACCATCTGGACAATAACAGCCATCTAAGCAATGGAGGTTGCTACCAAGACAATCCTTTTCAAATGTGCAGGTTGGCGGGCAACAACTAATGCAATCCCGATGCACAAAACTGTCTTCACACTTTTCAGCTAGACCATGTACAAATAACACTGGATATTAGTGCATTATTTTTCCTTTTATATATTGAAGAGGGTCCACCTCTTCAATAATTAATTTGCTTTCCAACTGTAACATATCACTAAAAATGTTGCACAATGTTTATAGTACAGCTACATAGGTATTTAAGCACATAACTTTAAATACCGATTTAAAGACTTTTTTAAAGCATTAAAACAGTAACCACAGCCCATAGGATTAATATAAGTGAACTCCTACATCTACCCACAGAATTGCATTATCAACAGGATCCTTTCTCTGTTTAAAAATCTAAAATTCTCTGATTAAAACCCCCCAAATCTTTTTTTCCACAAATAAAATGAAACACTGCAATAGACAGATAGATAATCAGTTGAACACAATGTTTTATTGATATATTTACAATATTAAAGCAAGTTGGAAGTCTACCAGAGCCTCAATCATTATAATGAAATAAATTCAAAATTCCTATATATTTTGAAATTTGTTTTCGGTTTTGTTTGTTTTTTCTATCATGGAAAATCAGAGCTCTTGCTGCCCCCTTTGTTCACCAGGATGCAGGTCCAACTGACGTGGTACCTCCACTGCTTTGTAGTGCAGCCAGTGCCACTCACTCCCACCCCCCAGTCCCTGCTGGTGCCCCTAACTCCTGACCTGAGGGCCCCCATCCCCGCTGGTGCCTCTCATTCATGACCCGCAGCCCTCCCCCCCAGTCCTGTTAGTGCCCTTCACTCCCAACCCACTGCCCCCAGGCCCCAACTCCCCAGTGTGTGGGAAAGAGGGTGGGTGCACGGGGAAGGGGGTGGGGGAGGAGGGAAGCGGGGCCATGGGGCAGGGAGGAGCCCGACCATAGATAATACTATTAGTGGT